GGCTGCAGCCGTCAGTGGCGCTCATCGTCGAGGGCATGGGCCATGCCCCCGTCATGAGAGGGTTGAGTGTGTCGGAATTTCATGGCGGAGCGGATGGCGGTCGGGGAGAGGCTGAACGAGACATCCGAAACATGAAAAGGGGCAGACGGGCGAGTGTTTCACAACGAAGACAGACATGGGCGGCGACGACTTTTGGACGATTTCTGGACATGCTTGTTGTGTTCTTTTGTACTAGCATAACATCAACGCTATGTCCTGGCCGATTTGGCCTCCTCTGCTTCATCAAGTTCGTCAAAGAAAGGGTACTGCAATCCAAATTTTGTTCTTCTAGCATAGCATGATCGGCCGTCTACAGCATTGCCAGGCCGATGCCGCTGAGGCCGTCCTCATCGAGACGGTTCCTGGCGTCGACGCCGCCCTTGATAGGGTTGGCGCGGTAGTTGAAGAGGTAGAAGTGGAGCTGTCCGTCGCCGGGTCCGAACTTTTGCTGCTCGAGGAAGAGACCGTTGTCCATGATGGACAGAGCGTTGAAGACGTCAAACTTGAACCTCTTGGCGAGGACGAGAGCGTCGGCGGCGAGCGAGTTGAGGCGGACCTTGAGGGCGTCCTTGTCAAAGGGCTCGGCGAGGCCGACCTTGCTGGCGTAGTAGAACATGTAGGCGGCGCGGACGTTCTGGTGCTTGGTGTTGCCGATGACGGACGACTCGAGGCAGTAAAAAGAGAAGATGTCGGTGATCTCCTTGTTTTCGTCCTGTTTCTCAGTCAGACCCGCGGCTCCTTCTCAGCATGCAGTGGTTAAATGGCTTACCTCGACGACGTAGGTCCAGATGACCTGCTCCTTGGCCGCCTCCTTCTTGGGGATGAACCAGTGGACAAACTCCTCGCGATCAAACTCGGGCCACAGATCGTAGCGTCCCATGTAGCGCTTCAACAGGTCAAGACGCGGCGTCGACATCCTTTTCCTGGATCTCCCGCAAGCCCTTGGTAGAAGGAAGTCGGAGCTGATACTTGCGAATTCTGGTACTGCGCTTGCTTGGGCGGCAGGGGGCTGAAGCCGACCTCATACAGCTTCTGCCAGTTGATCGCGCGGTGGTAGTAGCGGCACGTGCTGACGGGGGTCGGCAGAACGACGCCGGCCGTGTACAGGCCCTGCCAGATCTCGCGCTCGTTGCTGCGCCTCGTGATCTCCTTGATGAGGACGGGCGCGAGACGCTTGCCGCGGAGCTTCTTGTGCACGCAGATGAAGTTGACCTCGGAGCAGAGAATGTTGTTCTTGCGCACGCGCAGGTTGACGGGGATGGCGGAGATGAAAGCGACGAGCTTGCGGGACTGCGACGCGCGGACGCCAACGTGCCACTCCTTGCGCCAGCCGGGCGCCATCAACGCCCTGAGCATGTCAGCATGTTTATCTCGTCCGTTTCTTTGGTCCCTGACCTGACGGCCGGGCGCGCACAAAGTGTGACATACCATTTGAGGATGGAGGTGGAGTAGTTGAAGCGGAACATGGCCTCGTCGTCCTCGACGTAGTGGCCGTTCAACAGCTCATACACCTCCTTCATCTCGTCGTCGTTCTCCAGGTCCATCGTCACCCACTCAAACCCGGCGATCATCGTGGGCGGCTCCTTGGGCACGTCCTCGACCTTCTGGAGCTTCAGGGGGCCCTCCTCAACCTGCCCCTCGTTCTCGCCAAACCTGGGCACGGGCTGGGTGCCCCAGAACTTGTAGCTGGCCATGTCCTTGACGTTCTTGCCGCTCGACGCCAGACCCGTCATGATGTCCTGCAAGTTGAGCTTTTGCAGCGCGGCGGCCTGCTGCTCGGGCGTCGACCCGGCGCCGGCGGCCGAGCCGAGCTCCTGGGCGAGCGCAGGGTTCAGGGCCATGAGCTCCTGGACCTGCTGCGGGGTCAGACCGCCGATGGCCTTCTTGATGTCCCGCTCGGGGTCGGCGGACGAGGACTTGTTCCCGGTGAGGGCATCCTTGATCTTCTTGCGCTTCGACTTCTTCTTCTTCTTGCTCGCGCTCGCGCTGGCGCCGGCCTCGGCGGCGGGGGTCTCGTCTTCGGCAGCGTCGTCGTCATCGTCCGACTCGACCTCGGGCTGGTTGGCCTTGGCGTCGGCGATGGTCTCGAGAGCCTCGTCAGCCTCGTGGGTCGCGGGGTCAACGGGCTTGGACTCCTGGGCGGGCATCGTGGCTTGTCGGGAGGGCGGGGATCGGGGTCCCGCGATTTTTTTTTCTTTCTTTTCGTCCTGGGTGGCTTGGAGGGGGAAGTGGTTTTGCCAAAGGATCGATTCCGTCCCAGCACATGCACCTTATTGGTTTTGTTGGAGTTCCGTTGGTGGGGGACACCGATTCACCCGCGCGCCGACGTGGAGCTGACGTGCGGCCATGGCGGGGCTCGTCTGGCGGGGCAACATTTGAACACTTGGCACTGACCCCAAGGTCGCTACATCGGCACCCCAGGCACGTCTCTGTCCACCACCACACACAATCACATGCCTGTCGTCTGCACATCATGTCCTTACGACAAGTAGTCTCAAAAAGTGTTTGCGTATATGTACATCTACCTCTTGATTCCTGTGCATGCAACAAATTTATGCCTCAATCAAGGTTCCTCCCTGGATACACTGTACCTCCCAAGTCAAAGCACCTCATCACTGCAAGTGCGACTGGCGCAGAGCCCATAATATCGTTATGACCTGCACCCTCTGTTAGCCTTGCCGTCCGTTAACTTGGACCATATGCGTCTCACCTCCATAGGGGAAGAGCTCCTGTCGAATGACAATGTTCGGCTCAGCCTTGATCGTTGTAACAAAGGCATCCTGCCGAGTGCGCACCGTCCTCTCATCTTTCCACGAGGCGAACAGATCTGGGTCGAGTTCACCCTTGGCAGTCGCATTGGCCGCGACGCGAAATAGCCGGTTGCTTTCCTCAGGAGGAATATCAGCATCGTCGGCGGCAGCAATGATGATCAAGCGCAACCTCGTCTTGGCCAAATGCACTAGACGCTCCAGACGCGCGACGGTGTGCCACTTTTCCCAGATGACGTTCCGCTCCACCCATTCCAGCAGCCACGGCCACGCGTGGAGGGGCCCCAAGAGATGTAAGACGCCAGCGGCGCGGTAGCCGCGCAGCATCTTGGGGAGCGAGCTGAAGCCAGCAACGAGCACGACACCGGCAAACTCGACGCCTTCGGAGGCATAGCGCTCGGCGACGCCGCTGGCGACTGCCGTGCCGAGGCTCTGTCCGAGGATGACGATGCGGTCGGCGGGGATCCCCGCAACGTTGATGACCCAGTCGATCAGGGTAGCCGCATCCTGGATGAGACCGGGCTCAGAGGGTGCACCCGTTGAATGACCGAATCCTCTGTAGTCGATCGTCAATACGTGGTAGGACGAGGTGTCTGTGAGTGTGTGATAGCTGTCTGGCCTGTGGCCCTGGGCGACGTCACCTGCATTCTGGGCTTGTTAGTCGGTCTGGCCGTGAGATGCAACGATTTGGGTTCATACGCCGTGAACTAGAAATTGTCAGTACTAGCATGTGTTGCATGCTTAGAGTTACCCACGATAGACAACAACGCGAGCTTTGGGGTCCTCTTTGAGCACGCGGAAAGACTCCGTGGCGGTGATGTCTTCAGACACACCCGGCTTTTGCGTCGACAAGGCCTCCTCATTTTGGAGATAGAGCGGAAGAGGGGCAATGTGCCACGCATACAGCTCCACCTCATCGGGAGTCTTGAGAAAGAAAGGCGTTACTTGTCCAGCTTCATCGTTATTCTCGTTAGCCAAGTGTTCTCCAAGCCGGGGGGAGTGGAGTCAGTCCGTGGGCAAGGCACTCACTGGCGAACCCGAAAAGCTCGGGTTCGTTTATGTCACGGAACCACAATGTATTAATTTTGTGTGCATATAATGCGCTGTGGGGGATGAGGTATGAGCGTCGCTTCCCTTCGGATTCAGTCTCGAGACATGGGGTCCCTCACTGTCGTTGTACCGAAGGTATCGTTGCCAAGCCGAGCAAGGTAATGTACAGTATGAGCGGCGCAATGACGGCCCAGACGGCTGTCCGGAGGGTGGGTGCCAGTGGAATGGCCATTGCAAGCTTTTCTCTACTTATTGTGAAATGTCAAATGCACGTCGTGAAGAATTGAAGCAGCCGTTGAAGCGAAAGAAATGGGTGATGCCTGGACATCCGCAGCACATATGTCGCGTCAGTTCCAAGTGTGGCTTGGACATGCAGATAACACGTCGAATAGTTATTGTGGATATTCATGTAACCTATTTTGTATGTAAACGGGTGCATCGACTTGACACTTATTGATGGGACTTGGGTGAGTGGGCATCTCCCAATCGCATGCAAATTTACGAGGACTGCCTACTCATGGTCAATATGCACATGATTGACTTTTAAGTCGCTTGCAGATCGGACCGGTGGCGTGAATAGAATTCTGTTGGCAAATCTCGCCTCGGTCGGTCGAGTGGTCGCGTGGTCATCGACGTCGGATCTAACTTTGGTGACAGACATGGTAGAGAGGTAGGTCCTCCTTACTATGCAAGACCATTATTGTGCTGCGGCATCCTCTGGCTCCAGTAAGTACCGAATGGTAGTGGACTGCAGGGGCCATGTTGCGGCTCCTTCTCCAGACGGGTACCAGCCGCAACCCAACGACGTCAGGAACGAACCAGGTCGGCAGCAGCTGCTAGCTCAGTCGCTTTGTCGAACGGTAAGGTCGTGTCCAAATGCGAATGGAATCACCGTCATCTCCTCTACCGATTCTTCTGGCCTTGTAGCCTGATGACCGACGGAGAAATTTCCAATCGAAATCCTCTCACGCAGACCTGTCGTCTCGTGCCAGCCACTCACTTCCATCCTGATGAACAGAGTCTAAGCCCCGTTCGAGGAGCTCCAGTGGGTGCTCAACCGAGGCCAATCAGAAGGGTCGATTCAGAACGCGCCAGAGTGGTGCCAGCAGCGACAGCCGCAGGAACCTCTGGCCCGCCTGGCACCAAGTAGCACAGCAGCACCAGCACGGGACTGTAGTCGAGTCCCTTTGCCGTGGATTTTGCTTCTTCTTACATCTGGCTAGCCCCCATCTTCCTTGCCTCTACCTACACCACCACTACATCCACTGCACCCTCCCCCTCCCCCCCTCCGCGCCGCCAATTCCACTTCCCTTCACTGCGTGCAGTCGTCGACTGTCCACACCGTGAATGATGAAGACGCCACCCTCAGCATACTCATAGCAGAGATCCCCCATCCGACGTCATGGAAAGGAAGAGGAAGCTACCCGCGCGAGCTGCGGCACGCGTCGACCACATCGCGAAGAAGCGAACATCCACACCACCAGACCGACTCTCGCCCTACTCGAACGCGCCGACGCCTCCACCACAATCGCCTCTGACGGCTGAAGTCCCCCAACTGCAGTTACCGAAATCAGTCCAGCCGGGCAAGCCTCTGCCTACTGTCGAGCAGGCCCAGCCAGACGACCTCACGCTGCGCGACTACCAGAATATACAAGAGAGGTAATGACACTGACCTTCAGCACTTTCGTTTGACCCGTCATCAAAAAGCCGCAGCTGACGTGAAGGGGAATTGCAGCGGCGTATTAGCTGAATCTCTCACTCGATCGCGACAACGATGGATTGCCGAAGGCATCTTTGAGAAGTACTGGACCAAGCCGACGAAGAAGAAGGGCGTCGTCATTGAGGAGCCCAATAACCCTCCCAAAGATAGCATGTCCAAGCTCGGACAGGTCACCATCACCATCGAGCCGCATGTCTTCGAAGCCACCATGTGGGCGATCAAAGACCCCAAGCCGCCGCCTGTCGCTCCGACCACGCAAGCAACATTTCGACCCATCATGCAGTATGGACCTCCCAATGGAGCCATGCCTCCTCCACCCCCGCCTCCCAAATCTGAATCATCGCCCTCCGTCACGCCAGTCCCCGATGCAAAGTCGACCCCCCCTCCCGCGAGCCCAGCAACGTCCTTGCCTGCATCTCAGGCCGTGCAACCGAGGTCGCAGCCCGCTTTGGGCGAGACAGTCGCGGCTACCGGGCCCCCTCGCAGCGTGGAACTGGCCCCATCTCCGGCTCCAGCCCAGGCTCCAGCCCAGGCTCCAGCTCAAGTCACGACTCCGGCTCCTGCTCCTGCTCAATCTCAAGGACCTGCCCTGGCCCCAGCACCGGCATCCGTCCCCAGTGCAGCACCGTCATATCCGCCCACCAACAGCATGTCGCCAGCGACCAGACCCAGTGCTCCTGCTGGTCTCACGCCGACCACGCCATCGGCCTCGGCGGCTGTTCCAGCTCCATACGGGGGTACAGCAGCGACGGTCAACGTGCCGTCCAGACCTTCAAGCACGACGCCAACCCAGGGAGGGAGCAAGCCGCCGCCCACGCCCAAGACGCCTGGTACAGATCCTATCATCATGACACTGGCTGAGAAGGCATCAGAGGACCCACATCTGCGCGACCTCATGAAGCGCGTCGCGGCAGGGGAGGCCAAGCAGGATGAGCTCACAAACTTTCAGCGGATTATCGACCAGATCACAGCTGAGTATAAGAAGAAAGGCGGCCAGCAAGGACCATCAGCTGATCGGTTGATTGTTGACGGAAAGACTGTCAAATACTTTGCGGATGAGGTCCGCACCATTCTCGACATAGTGCTAGCAACCAATCCGCAACAGAAGTCGCATGAGCTGCTGCCGCCTCCCGGCAGTGACCCTCTGGTTGTGGCTTTAGTAAAGAAAGCACTGGATGATGCGAAGACGCGAACCATGATTCGAAGAATCGCCGACAATCAGCCTGGCTTCACCGATACGACTGACCTCAAAGCCATCCTGGACAAGTTACATAAAGCCTTGCAGGCTGCACCGCCTCCGCAGATTCAGCCGCGGCAGATCCAATCTCCCCAGCCCACGCCCTCTACGAACGGCCAGCTCCAAAAGGTGGCGCCAGCGCCCGGGGCAGTCCTTCACCCGCCTCAGCAGGCGCTGCGCTCCAAAGGACCGCCGCCCCCATCAAAACCCGACATTTCGGGCATTGCTCTCGAATTCGCCGGTGGTAATGGAGACAGGTATCTCTTCCCCAAGTTCAGCATTCTGGAGTACCTGCCAGGGGGTCAGCAGGTCATCGCGTCGTTCTTGATTGTGCGCAAGGGCAGCCAGCTGGAATATGGTGGCGATGCGAAGCTGGACTACTATCAGCCGGTCACGATACGTCTCTTTACCCAGACGGGCCGCCAGCTGGACCATCTTCATCGGGTTGTTGCGCCCTCCGAAGAAGTAAAGAGGTACATGGTCGATGTCATGGACAACATGACGCGTGCCGAATACGTCTTGCTCCCCATGCGCCTTCCTCGAGGCGACCCTCCCTTGGACAAAGATCAAGGCGGTCGGGACACCACATTAACCAATGGGAATGGACCTGAGGTCGTCGAACCAGTCCTACCCCCGGTACCCGCCGTGTCTGCTGGGCCCAAAAAGCCCCCCATTCTATGGAAGGGTAAAGCCAAAGTATTCATGGATCACTTTCCGGCAAAGGAGATCTATCAGCAATTCTTAGCCCGAAAGAGGCAAGGGTTCCGCGAGCGAGTCGACGAAGGCTACAAGCCATACCGGTGGGGCTGTGAGCTTCTGAACATCAGCGAAGACGAAATGCTAGAGTACGATACAATGGTGGAGAAATTGGTGGCGAAACAGATTGAAGAATCTTGACACTGTCTGGATACGACAGAATAAGGGACAGACTGAGGTGTGGCGCATGGAGCTTGTGTTGTCGGACTCGGCAAAGTGTCGATTGCCGAGTATTGTATGAATACAGAAGAATCAGGACTGTTTGCATCGCAAAGGCAGGGAATGGGGCGCGAGTTATGGGACCTGGCTTTTTTTTCCATGTTTCGTTATGCTACAGCAGGAAGGCGGGGGCTGTTAGGCGGTTGCCCTCGAGGCAACTCGTTGGCGATTGGTTTTTTTTTTCTGGCGTTGCAAAGGATGATTCCCGTTTGATGTGGCCTTTTGAACAGAACGTTGCGGTGTCTTCAAGTGATCATGTGCGATGAGTGATCGACAGCTTCTGGAGCTGGCTTACAATATGTGGATGATGACCCCCAACACTAGTGCCTCCTTCCACCATGGCAAGACCTCCCAAGCGTCCCCTGCCACAGCTTCAAAGAGGTTATGTCAATCCTCCTGTAGGCGACCCAACACCTCGACAACCTCGATGTACAACGTTTGCAGCCCGAGATCGTCATCACGACCGTCACTCATCTTCGCCTGGTACGCATCAAAGCTGCCAGTCAGACACTTCACAGCCGCTTCTCGATAGACCGTGCCCATCAGATGCCCGAGCCATGTCTTTGATTTGTCGACCAAGACGTCACGGAACGCCTCAGCCGCCATACCATCCTTGTATAGCTTCCATGCAGGTCGCCAGAGCCCTATCTCTAAGAGCACGACGCCGAGGCTGTACACGTCAAAGCTGCGTCGGTAGCCCTCATTGGGGCTGCCGTGCGCCGAGGGGTGTCGGTAGACATTAAAGCGTGCGCTCTGCTCCGGCTTCTCCGAGGACTCGTCAACGGCATCCGGGCGCGAGAAGTCGAATCCCACCAGATACGGGGTCGTCCACCGAGGACGCCCGTTCCGATCGACGGGGAACAGGACGTTCTGGCTCCGAATGCTCTTGTGCAGCCACGACACGGCATGAAGGATGGAAATCGACAGCGCGATGCCGTAGCTCGCCTGGTGGCGCTCCTCCAGCGTCGGCAGATTCTCCGGCGTCGGCTGGTCGAGCAGCGCCTTGAGCGAGACCATCGGCTTGCCGTTTGGCGCTGGCGCGGGTGCTGCTGCGCTGGCGAGTGGCAGCCGGAAGACGAAGCCGAAGGCGCTGCGCTCGACGTCGTCGAAGAAGCCGAGGCATTTCAGCGTCAGGAGCTCGTCGGGTTTCATGTCCGTGTGCAGGAGCTGGGCACTGGGGCAATGGTTCGAGAATGCGGCCGTGGAGCTCGATGCCCTTCTGACCCATCCAGCTGGCGTCATACCGTTTCCACTCGATGAGAATCGGCTCGCCGCCGTCGAGACGCCGAAGCTGCGAATCCTGCCGAGACCTCGTCGTGGCTCCGACCTGCACGCGTGAAGTCTTGATGGACAGGTGGATGTTACTGGACGGTGCGAAAATTGTTGCACGCGTCTCAGTTCGAGATTCAGTTGCTTTCGAGTGACGAGCAGGTGCTCTGCGTGGTCTATTGATGACACGTCGCGAGCGTCGATCTGGCTATCTTGGAGGTCCTCCACGGCCAGGATGACCTGGGATGCTTTCGCTGTTGGGCGTCATGGGCGGCAGCAGCCGATACAGGCCGCGAGGGAGGGAATCCAGCTGGTCAAGGGCCCTCTCGCTTTCGGCAGCCTTATCGTGGACCCAGTTGAGAGACTCCAAGGCTGCCGCAGCCCCCTTCTTTCCATTTTGCGCCGAGGGAAGTCAACCGCAACGGTTCCAGTGACTCCAGGAGTCTTCTCACAGCATGCAGAGTCTCCGCCACGGCGACCTCGTGTTGTCTGACCCAGCGCTGCCTGCGGCGAAAGCCAGAACGTTCGCTACTCTCGGCTGGTGCATAGAGCCAGTCGCGCTCCCATTGCTGCAGGAGGGCATGTTGAAGAACAAGCTTGGCGCGCAGCAGGCCCAGGTGTCCGTCGAGTTCGCGCAGCGACCGCCACATCTTGTACAGCTTGGAGCAAGCAGACATGACGTCCAGTATACCGCTGAATGCGCCGATCCCGAGCCCTGCGGCTCCTAGCTGGAAACCAACTTTATCATAGTCGACCGCCATGTTACCATGTGGAAAAGAGGTCACTTTTGCGAAGGAAGGATACGAACATACGCACGCTGCAGTTAGTAAGTAGGCGCTAAGCGCAGTAATGAAGCACGGACAACAGAGCCAAGAGGCGGAGTATCTACTCTATCACAAGGCGGTCCGGCCCGAGTCGGCGACGTCAGGTCCGCATCCACAGGGGTCGTGCCTGGGAGGATCAGCATCCTTCAAGCCCCATTCACGCGGCGTCAGCTCCAGCTTACGCAGCCTGGGTTGCAGGCAAATGGACGCAATGGAATGGAGCGCAACTCCGAGCAGGACCTCTTTTCAAGGAACACACACCGGACGTGGCCACCAGACTTGCTGCAACGTGACCCGACATAGATCTCAGTGTGTTATCATGGAGTGGTCAACTTCGATGCCGACGTTTCGGCGAGAAGTATCCAGCAAGCCGCGAGATGGTTACACGGAACGCAGCTCAAGCAACGAAACTACCGAAGCCCTGTCGGAAAGCTCGAGATGCCCTCATTTTGCGGGATTTCTTGGCGTTTGCTTAGCACAAGACAATTCGCTCGGCCTGCACCCTTTCATTAGCAATACCCTTCCCGACTTTGAGGATGTCACCCTCGGCGGCGGCTCCTTTGAAGTGCGCCAGGTCTCGACCTCATCATTTCCTACAGGCTTAGCAACGGACTTGCTCAAAGGTCGTGACTTCGTGGTGGTGAAACATCCTCGGGCAACACCGAACAGGCATGGACAGAGCACGTATCACTTTTCCGATATAGCGACTGAGCTCCAGGTTTTGCGACATCCTCCAATTAAAGTACACGATCATGTCATCGATTTCATGGGCGTCATGTATCACTACACAGGTGATGAGACCCAGGACGGAAATCGAATCGTCCCCGCTTTGGTGCTCGAATATGCCGCCTACGGCAACCTGAAGGAGTTCCAGATCTCAGGACACGCAAACACATTTCCAGATCAGATCAAAGTTGCTCTAGATGCCGCCAGCGGTATTCAGGCACTGCATCGAGTGGGTATGATCCACGGAGATGTCAAACCCTCCAACTTTCTCGTCTGCAAGCATGAGAGCCGGGACTTTGTGGTCAAGCTTGCAGACTTTGGATTCTCCCTTTCTATTGATGATGGCAGGTTTCGTCGGCCACACGCAGATGTACTGTGCCCCAGAATCATACGATGGAAAGTTTGAACGCCAGCACCTGAAGCAACTCGACATGTACAGTTTTGGGCTTACTTTCCTCGCCATTCTCGAGAGTGGTGGCACGTTTTATGATAATCTGCCCACTCAGGATCTAGACATCAATGTCAGGAAAATGAAAAGCGCAGATCTTATGTGCACTACCATGCCTATGCGGGTTTTGAAAGGCTCTCGACACGAAGGACGTCCTTTGGCCATTGTTTGCAAGATACTCAAGACGTGTCTGCAAAAGTCTCCCGCCGCTAGATTCAAAGACATGGACCGTATCATTTTGCTTCTTCGTCTGGCCCAGCATGTCTCTCTTGGAGAGAACTCACATGCCTCTTTCAACGATACGACGGCCTCGCAGGCTGCCGAGTTCATCAAAGTCATTGGGGGCGACAGTTGCCCTGACACTACCCAAGTTCCACAAGCGCTGCAACAAGGTTATCCGCAGTGCCTGGAGTACATCCAACTCGCAATTGATGGCCTTCCAAAGAAGCAGCCGGCGCAGCTTGTGCGAGTCCAAGTTAAAGCACTGAGAGATCAAGCTGCTCGGCTTGCGCAAATGACCCTTTGGATTCATGGCTTCATGATGAACACCCAGGAAAGGCCTTTGGGAGATGTGTTACGTCAGATCGTGGAGAAGCGAGTCATTGCGGACCTCTTCAAAGCTGTCGGAACACCCGAAAACGGGCCCGACGTTATTGGCTTTGATACATGCAAGGCCTTGAGGTTCATTTCTGACTTGGTGGGACTTTTACCTGAGCCATATGTTGCCGGGTGGTCAGATGAATCTCCAGAAGTAGAACAACTGAGGTACATCCCTTGGCTGGCATATCAAATGTATCTCTAACCTAACGTTTCATCAGGTCCCGATATGAAGCCAAAGAAAAATTGGTTCTCAGCCGTTACTTGGATTTCATCCCGAATGTAGGTTTCTTCAGCCCACTCTCGGAAGCATTGTGCAACTTCGACTGACTCGGAACTTGAAGCTCGCAGCGTCGTACGCCACAATCGAAAAGATGCCATGGATCGTCCAGACCGAGGCTACAAGAAGCCTTCAGGTCATCTTGGCTCAATCTTCTGATGTCAGGATTAAATCATCTGCCGCTTTCAATCTCGCAATCGCGTACACACAAGGCACCGGAGTGGAATGGGATCTCGAGACAGCAAAACAGTATTTATTCCAAGCTGCAGTGTTTGGCTCCGAGGAAGCCCAGACTCTTTACATCAATATCTTTGCCTCTAACGGGACAAATTCGAAACTTCCGGAGCCAGCCGTCTGGCGTAGCTGGCTGGAGGTATCAGCTGAAAAGGGGAATTCCAAAGCACTCAAAATCCTCGAACATGTGTCACCACTTTCAATACTGAGACTCAGAAGTAGCGCTCAGCGGAGACATTTTGAAGAGACAGGACTAAAACTTGACAAATGGACCCCGTCAGAAACTCCTATCAGCAAGGAATTGCTGACGAGATCAGGTCCCCAGATTCTCTTCTGGGCCATCACTGAGGACCGACCCGATGTTGTTGCTCTCGTCATCAAAGAGATCCCAGCTTGCACAGGGACCCAGACAGAGCTTCAAGGGGATTTCCCTTTGTTGGCAGCCTGTAGGCTGGGGCGAACTACAATAGCAAAAAGCTTGCTCGACGCTCAGCAGAGTGCTGGCCTTGCCGATAACCTTGGAGTCACACCCCTTCATTGGCTATTTCGGTTTCCAGCAGCGGAAATGTTCGACATTGCCTTCGCACTTTGTGAAAAGGGAGCTGATCGTCACGCGCTTGCAGCTTCTCTCCTCCCCACGCAGTATGACACGCAGATCAACGAGTCAACAGAACCTCCCAGCTGGACTCCTTTGCACTGGGCAGTCTGGTCGAACAACTTGGCTGCCGTCGAGACGCTGCTCACGCTCGGTGCGAATCCCATCTTCAGCAAGGACTCCAAGGCCGGCGAGGCAAGATGTCAATCACCCCTGGATCTGGCGTGTCGACTTTGTCACTCAGCAATGATCGACCGACTTGTGATGGAGCCTTCGGTGGTTGAGGAACTTCGCACAGCAAGGTCTATGATTATCGACCATCCTTTGAAGTCGCGACCCCTTCTGTATCCGCTACAAGGCGCCTCTCGCTGGACCAGACTTCTCTCTAGCGGCGTCAGCTTTGTGCAGGAGATTCATAGGACGATCTCCACCTTAGTCTCTCATGGAGCACCCACGGATGCCGTGCTGGAGCTTGGCGAGTTCAAGGTCCCCGCTGTATTCGCTGTTGCCGAGCATCAGTGTTTCGCAGAGGTCATGGTCGCCGGACTGGAAAACGGCTTTGCGAGGGAGATTGACGTCTTCCCGCAGAAGGACAAGCGGCATAACGCTCTGCTGATGGCGATAAACCACCGAGATCCCGCCATGGTCCGCGCTCTGCTTACAGCTGGCGCCAGTACAACGGTTGAGGATGCACATGGGCTGGGGCCTCTGGAGCGTGCTGCGAAGGAATCTGACAATGTCTTCTTTGTGCGCAGCATTCTAGAGACTGGTATCTCCGCAGACCCGCCTGACGTATCTAGAATCAGTGCTTTTGAAATGGCCGTGTATACCGGAACTTCAATGTGGCACGATTTCTATTCGAGGCTGGAGCCGCGAGAGACCGGGTCAACACGTCCGGACGTACCTTGCTTGGAGAAATGATCCTTATGCACACCCGCAATGCGCTGGAGAGAATCAAGTTCCTCCTCAGCCTGCCTGATCGTGAAGGTCAGGATGGGTTCATCGTTCAGCATAGCACCAGCCGTCCCATTTCCGCGTTGCGCCTTTGCTGTGCTCCAATGCAAGGAAGCCGACCCGACGTCACAGTATGCTGATATCACTGACGTGATGGTTGCGCATCTCCTAGAGAAGTATGATTCGAAGAATTACTTTGGCAGTACCGACGGCGAAGGCCACATGTCAGCCCTGACGGCAGCCGTGGGATTGGGAAACCACCGCGTCGTCAAGCGGCTCCTAGAAAAGGGGGCCGATCCGAAAATTGTGGATGACAAGGGGCGTACCGCCATGTCACTCGTACAACACAGATACACGTATCCCGAGTCCGTGGGCCTCTTGACTGAACGCAAAGTGGCAGATTTAGACAGCGGCACTGCGGAGAGACTTTGCACGAGGGTAAATCAGAACACATCCGAACTTGTGGGTGTCCTTGTTTCGTATGGTGCCTTTGGGGATGATATGTCGACACCAGAGTGGTATCAGGGTGAGAAGGGCTACAAGTGTACGCATTGCGTGATGGAGGCGCTGCGCAACAAAGTCAGACAAAGTAACGATTGATCTCGAAGAATGTAAAAATTAATCCCTAAGGCCTAGGACTGGGCCAAGCTTGAAAATTCAAGTCTTACTATAGTGACATTGCTTTCTTTTCCACCTTGCGTCGTCTTCAACCTAACAAGAGACTTAGTCAACGGCGAGTACACAACTTAGACACCTCCCTCACGCCTTCAGCTAGCGCCCGCACTCGCAATGCATGCTTGAACTTAGGATTTTTACCACCTCGCCATGCCTGAAGAACAGAACCTTGATTTGCGGCACCTCCAAACCTAAGTACCGTTAATGCAGCCCTAGAACGAGACTCGATGGCCGCAGATGAACTGCATCCAGCTGAAGTAGCGTGCCCATTGCTAGTCAACCTTCGCTAGCCATGTATGCTCTGCAGCGTCCACACCTTGTTTCGGGAGCTATGTTAGGCTAACGGTGGTTCTCAAGCGTCTGGAAGAATCTCTACGCCAGCTTGAGCTCTCTTCACTTTCAGCGGATAGATTGAAATGGAAAGGACGTCTTGACAGAGATCGCCCACTGCTTTTACCTTTAACATAACAACATAGGACAACGAGAACCGACTGATGATGCATGAAAGCTTTGGCGCCCAGTACGAATCATGATATCGGGGCGCCATCGGGAAGCCTTCCTTGAGGTGGCCATCGCCAGCTTACTCCCTCGGTCTCAACTTTGGATGTCTGACGATGGCGCTCAGCAGGGCCGCCATCGGAAAACGCCATACGTCGTGGCATCCACCCGAGCACTAGCCGATGACCAAGAGGGCAATCTCACCAGAAGAATAAAGACCGGCCATCCTCCCCACTAGACTCTGCATCCTTGAGCAACACCTTCATTCTCTTTGACTATTCACTCGTTCTTGACCAGGTCGCCCAGCGACTTGTCGACCTCAATATGAAGTTCACCCCCATCATCCTGTCGGCCGCTCTTGTCAGCGCTGGCGTGATCCCCAGCGAAGTCCGTGTCGACGAGAGCAGGCTTGCCCAGCGCTCCGTCACCGGCGATAAGTGTCTTACCCTTGAATGCGCCAAGAAGGAATACGTGCCCATCTGGCGCGGCAAGATCTGCGAGAAGCCCGGCTGTGAGAAGCCCAAGTGCAAGGAGCCCGAGTGCAAGCCCAAGACAGACGGGTAAGCAGATGGCAAAGAAAATGTTGAATCCAGTGCGCTTATTGACTGGGGAACAGATATGAGGAGTACTACTGGATCGAGCATATCGACAGGAAGCACCGTCACAAGGACAACGTGAGTTTCAGCACAACCCGGCATGTACAGCATTTGTGCTGACAGCTTTGCAGGGCTACAAGGATTACTACTACAAGGACCAACACGACTAGTAAATCCTTCCTCCGTGTCATACGGTCTGAGCAACTCAGCTGACGAAACCACAGTCCGCGCAACCATACCAGGCCTCGTGTAAATGTGAACAAGGTCATCACCAAGCGTGACGTCGCTGCGGCCGACGAAAGAGATGACGAGGTCCTTACCAAGCGCGGCGAGTCGGCTGTTGGCAGACCCTACTTCAAGCCTTACTACGAGGATGACCCGGACTACGAGTCGCACTTTGAGCCCAAGCCTGTGCCCGTGCCTGCGCACCCTCACCATCGCCATGGGCCCCCTCCCCCTTGGCGCCATCATCACGAAGGACCTCCTCCCCCTTGGCACCGTGGTCATCACCACGGTCATCACCACGGTCATCATCACCATGATCATCCCCGCCATGGCTGCCACCCTCATGATCACCACCATCACGGGCCTCCTTGCCACCGCCGCGGCCCGGCCCCTGCTCCCACGCCCGCCCCCACGCCTGGCAAGAAGCACGACGACCGCGACGACGTGCAGTGGTACCGCGAAGGTATGTGCCCCCCTTCATCGTACCCCATATGTCAATGAAGAAAACAAAGAGAAAACGCTGACCACGACCGCAGAGATTACCCACGACCACGAAGAAGACCGCCATCAGGGCAAGAACAGCGACAAGTGCATCCACTGCAAGCCCGCCATCAAGGCCGTCAACACGACCGACACCAGGGCCGCCGCCGCCAACTCGGCCTTCAACAACCGCAACGGTGGCGCCCGCACGCTCAACAATAAGTCGGGCAACATTATCAAGGCCGGCAGCAAGAAGACCGTCGAGGTGGTTCCCACCTTCGTCGAGGAGGATGTGGCCGAGGAGGACAATGACGACGAGGAGAACGCGGAGTAGGACGGGATCTCTAACGTGCAACTCGGGAGGGCTTGCAATTGTCTCAACCGGCGGCCTCTGTATCCTGCAAGGCCGACAGCAAACCTGACCGGATGTCGATTTCCTATTGTGGGGGCACCGTGTTTTCGTCTCGCCTTAGATTGTATGGAGATGAATTGCCCTAGTAATAGTATCCTTCATTACCTGCGTCCTTGCGATTTCCCCATCGACGATGACAATTGGTCGACGCTCAAACATACAAAGTGCGCTGCCCTTTTTGAACGAGATCAAACGCCATACACCCTACTCCTGTCCAATGTGAGTGGAATCTTAAATTGTCTTGATCAACCTCAAGCCATTGACCCGCCGCTGCGGCCGCCTCCAATCAAGCCCGCCATCTCGAGCAGCGCACGATCTGCCTCGATGCCGCTGGTGCCGAGATTGATATTTCTTCTGGCTTCGGCCTCTCTCGCCTCCCATGCCCACCGCGCGGCCTGTGCCTGCGCCTCCTCGTCGCCTCCACATCCCCACACCTCAAGGCTCTCGACCTCAAACCGGTCCTGGAAGTCGTATCTCCGCGAGACGCTGTTATGGTATGCGCCGCCCTGTGATGTGTAGTCGTGATTGAAGACACCAAACTCAAACGAGTCGTCAAGCAACAGCGATACTGGGCCAAGGGCAAGCATGCCGTCGTGGCGATGCGACTGCGTTGGCCTTGGGTGCGGACAGCCTGCTGCAAGAAGGGGGCGGTTTGTGGGCGCCTTGGTGAAACTGACGTAGTCCCCGGTTGATTGCAGACGCCGGAAAAACGTCGTGAACAGGTTCAAGCTGAAATAGGAGAGAGTCCGAGTCGCCGAAGCACTCTTTGGACGTATGCTTCCACGGCTGGCCGATGTACATGCCGAAGGTGAGGCGGTCGCCCTTGCTGCCATGGGGGAAGCGTTTCGGCGGCAGGGAGGCTGCAAAGGAGGCTTCCTGACCGCCGCGGGGTTCATCCTGGATGCGAGAGCCGCGTACGAGAAGGATGGTGGGAGCGCGCCAATTGAAGACTTTGGTTTCGAAGCTGCCCATGGAGAAGCCTGCTTCGGCGCCAGAGTAGAGCAGCCTGAGCTTGCGGAACAAATTCGCGCCTGGAATGAAGAAAGATAGCTGAGACAAAACATTGAAATTCATGATGTCAGCCTTGTCCTGAAGAAGAGGTTGTGCGACTTCTCTCTGGACCGCCTTTTCTTTCTCCTCGGCTTGGTTCTCGTGTTTGGAGAAATCTAAGTTTTTGGAGAAGAGGAAATGTTCGAACAAGGCATTGAAGCCTTGAAAAAGGTAGGGAAAGTTGACGGGAATGATACGGTTGAAGGTGCTGTACTTGATGCCAGGCGATGTTTCCACGTTCAAGAAGGCATGGAGGACGTTCCTAGCCGTCGATCGTAAACTCTCCAGCTCGTCCCCTACGACCCGATTGGCATGCAAGGCCAGGCTCTCCTGAGCATCAAGGGGTGCAACGAGCAGCAGCAGCATGATGATCCTGTGGAAATTGTCACCAGGGATCATGGCACCCTTGATGGAGGGTGCATCGCCCTGCTTTACGGCATCATCGATATCAAGTAGCTCAAAGGCGGCGATTTCCAAGTCATCGTCGTCTTCATCATCGGCCTCGTCGCCGGCCTCGTCGACGGCGAAACCTGGGACGTGGCTCGCCGTTTCTTGTGCCTTTGCCTTAGTTTCAGCCTCTTTGCTTGCTTCCTCGGGTTCGGTAGCGGCTGCAGCACGGTCATGTACAGCCAGACTCTTAAAAAGTAGCTTGGTGCGGTCGGTGGACCCTCGGGCGAGAACTCGTTGGTAGCGGTTCGTCAGGATGGTGACGACCATGACCATTTCCTCCCGGCCGAGAACAACAGGAGCATCATTGAGAAAAGGAAATGCGCCGATGTATGATATCATGCGGAAAAGAACAGGCGACGCGTGAAGGACGTCGGGGAGCTCGAGGAAACGGGAGAGGGTCTCCTCCTTGAGATAGTGGACGCCATCCTGATCATCGGCAAGACTCTTGAAGACGTCCTTGTAAGAGTAGATTTCGAGCGATGTGAAGCACTTGTCGGCGAAGCGGCGAGCCTGGAAATATCTCGTGGTTAGCTTACGGCTGCCTGGGAAGGGGTCCCTAATGGCGGGGCAGGAAAGCTTACGAGCTCGCGTGTCAGGTCCTCGCGGGTTCGGCGCCGAGGGTTCTCGTCTGAATGCGATTGGCCCATTGTACCAAAATTTTGCGAAGTAGAAGACGATGGAGATAGTGATCAGGGTGCGCGATGCATTCTTGACGCTGCGTGCAGGCGCCTCGAGTTGAGAAAAGGGTGGACTGATGATACCACCCAGCGCCAAGGTGAAGCATAGGCAGAAGAGGGAGGTGCATCCTATGTCCGGTCCTTAAGATCCCTGACTGAAGCCCGCCGTCATAGTGGAGTCAGACGCCAAGGACCCCTCCAATGGCACATGAACCAGCTGTCACTGTCTGAGTACCCTACCCGCCTAAGGTACCTACCTAGGTACGGGCAAGTACCTGATGTCGGGCTGCTCGCTGATTGAGTTACTGGCTCAGCCTACCTCAATGAATGCCTATTTGGGCAGTATAAACTCAACCTGAGTTGGTGGGCAAGTCAACTGGGCACCCTCCGCTGAACTCCAACTGACAAGGAGATAAATATTTGTGCATCCAAGTTTTCTGGCAGAGTCGTGAGCTTGCTTTCAAGCCTTCTTGTTTACTTGTTTACATATAAATAATTGCGAGATCATCCGGAACGCCGTGACCACGTGCTCTGGCCGCCCACTGCTATCGTACCAACTGTTGCAGTCACCGTACCCACTCATACAATGATGACATGGTGTGACCGACCCTGTGACCTAGTTCGTTTTGTCGTCCTCCGCAGACACCCTCTTCACATTGGTGGGCGTCTTGACCTTGCTGACGATGGGCTCGTCATCCACGGCCTTACTCGCGTCCGCCAGCGGTGCCTCGCCAGGCTTTCCCCATCCCGACGAAGAACCCGACAGGCCCAGCGCATTCAGAACGCCGCTCTTCGCCTCGCCGCCCTCCGCCGGCGTCGCACTCGCATTGCCCGCCTTGGCTTCCTCGGCCTTGGCCCTACGGTTCATGACCCGCGCTCGCATGGCCTTGTCCTCCTCATCACGGATCTCCAGCTCCCTGATCCACTTCTGTCGCTTCTCCTCGCTGTCCCGCTCCTCCTTGAGCTTGCGCAGCTCCTTCGTAGCCTCGCGGTCTTTGTTATAGTACATGCTGCCTGCAATCATGGCGAGGACGGTGAAGCCCTGCGCTGCGACGCGGGCACGGAACATCTTGTTGGCCGAGACCTGGTCGCCGCGGCGCATGGGGCGCCAGGCCTGGGTGAATGCGAAAACGGTCAGGCCGGCACCTAGAAAGGGGACTGTCAGATGGGCCGACTACGGGCGAAGAGGATGGTATTTGTGTATCGTACCAAGAGGGATAAGAGGCTCTTCCCTAAGCTTGCGGAAGATCTTCGCCATGGGCTTCTCGTTGTAGAATTCGCTATAGACATTGGGTCAGCAGGAGTGGGGTGGCTATGATTGCGGGAGCTTGGGACTTACTGGTTCTCATCGAAAGAGGACGGCATCTGCCGCCCCATGACAGAGTCGTCTACATTCGGCATTCTGGAGTAGCTGTTTAGAGATCTCGTAGGATGTCTTGTGGTCGACGTAGAGGTGTTTGATGCAAGGAGGAATCAAGCTCGTGATCATGCGATGGAGGGCGCAGCTGTTAAGAAAATCGATGATGGAATTCCCGAATTGGCGCCTGCGGATTGGATCGCCGTGGAGCTGGACCCTGCTGCTAGTGGGGCGCCATCTGCCCACCAGAGGAGCTCCGCCCTCATCCGGCCTTTGATTCATTCACCGCGTTGGAGACTCGCCCTGACCGAGGGGTCCAGACCCTTGCTCCCGGTATCGCCCTCGGCCGGCTGGGGACTACAAAGCCGTCGTCCAATGAACACACTCCCAATGCATGTTCACCGATCTGACTCCTCCCACACCGAGTCTGTCCCTCCGATACTGCCCCGCCAAAACAAAATTCCCAAGGTGACGGATGTCATCGTCAGGCCTCTGCCCTCACCGTTCCCTTTCTGACACAGCCCACAAGTCAGCACTTCGATCACCATGGCCGACTCGTCCACTGCTCCTGTCGTGCCTGTCATGACGAACGGCACAACCAATGGCGCCAATGGCGACCACAGGCCGCACACGCCTGAGACGAATGGCGGCTTCTCCTTGACCGAGTACAGCGCCAATCCCACAACACCTGCAGAGGTCAAGCGCAACCGCATCAAGAGCATCGTGCCCGAGGAATTCCTGCTTCCCAACGGATACCCAGATGTCAGCATACATCCTGACCTCCTCATCCCTCAGGCCTACCACTGACAAGTCGCTGCGTTTCAGTACCTTCGCCTTATCGCCAGCGCTACTTCACGCGTCTACGAAGCTTGCAAGCTGACCCCCCTTCAACCAGCCGTCAACCTCAGCAACCGTCTCGAATGCAATGTTCTCCTGAAGCGTGAAGATGAGCAGCCCGTCTTCAGCTTCAAGCTGCGCGGCGCCTACAACAAGATGGCCCACCTCGACCCCGCCAAGAGCTGGAAAGGTGTCGTTTGCTGCTCTGCCGGCAACCACGCCCAGGGTGTCGCCTACTCGGCCCGCAAGCTCAAGATCCCTGCGACCATTGTCATGCCTGAGGGCACCCCCAGCATCAAGCATCTGAACGTGGCACGGCTGGGCGGCCACGTCGTGCTGCACGGTCAGGACTTCGACGCCGCGAAGGAGGAGTGCGCACGTCGCGAGCAGCAGGATGGCCTCATCAACATCCCGCCATTTGACGATCCATATGTCATCGCCGGCCAGGGCACCATCGGCATGGAACTTTTCGGCCAGACCAACATGTCCAAGGTCGAGGCCATCTTCTGCTGCGTTGGCGGTGGTGGTCTTATTGCCGGCATTGGCGTCTACATCAAGCGCATGGCGCCCCATGTCAAGATCATCGGTGTCGAGACGTACGATGCCAATGCCATGGCGCAGTCACTGGTCAAGGGTGAGAGGGTCGTGCTGAAGGATGTTGGTCTATTCGCGGACGGTGCCGCGGTCAAGACGCCTGGCGAGGAGACGTTCCGCATCGCGAAGGATGTCGTTGACGACGTCATTCTCGTCACGACGGATGAGGTCTGCGCAGCCATCAAGGACATGTACGATGATACCCGTTCCGGGCTCGAGCCTGCCGGTGCCCTTGCTATCGCTGGCCTGAAGAAGTACGTTGCCGCCAACCCCTCAACCGACACACGCCGATCCCTCGTCGCCGTCACGTCGGGCGCCAACATGAACTTTGACCGCCTGCGCTTTGTCGCCGAGCGCGCCACCCTCGGTGAGGGCAAGGAGGCCCTCCTCTCCGTGCGCATCCCGGAGCGACCCCGGCTCCTTCGCCGAGCTCATCAACAAGGTTATGCCCCATTTTGTTACCGAGTTCTCCTACCGCTACGCCACAAATGAGGTCGCCAATGTCCTCATTGGCCTGTCCCTGACGGCGCCCGCCTCCCAGCGCGTCGAGGAGCTGCGCATGCTCGTCGAGCGCGTCCAGGCCTCCGGCATGTCCGTCACCGACCTCTCGGGTGACGAACTCGCCAAGAGCCACATCCGCTATCTCGTCGGCGGTCGCTCCAACGTCCCCAACGAGCGCATCTACATGTTCAACTTCCCCGAGCGGCCCGGCGCGCTCGAGCGCTTCCTCAATACGCTGCGCACGAGCTTCAACATTACGCTGTTCCAGTACCGCAACTATGGCGGTGACGTTGGCAAGATTCTCGCCGGTATCGCTTGTCCAGATGCCGAGCTGAAGGAGCTCGAGAAGTTCCTCAACCAGATTGGCTATCCGTGGGAGGACTGTACTGAGTCGGAGGTTTTCAAGACGTTCTTGCGCAGTTAGAGGATTGTCGATGCATGGCGTTTGGTGTTGGGAACGATAGATCTCACGGTACTTAGATGGCAATGTACATTGGAATGAACTCTTCAGCAGTCTTGTTTGCTCGCCTCCCGGTTGCCCTCTGTATATGGGCAGGCCTAGCGGACCGAACAGATATTCCACCGCAAAATAATAAGATCCCTGCGAGTGACATGAATGCGTAAAGGCCTGCCATCCGACCCCCCAGATATTCATCCTGAATACGGATCACCGCAGCTTCGTAGATAGCATCTTGCCATTTTCTGCTAACATGACTGACCCCTACGTTGGGGGTTATGTCTCGGTGAAGTTCAACTTCGGTGTGGTTCTCGGTGAAGAACCGGCCCACGTGACCGCGCGACGTCGGCCCATCTCAACTCTGCACCCTGCACCTTTGCGGCATCCGCACCCGCTCGACGAAAAACCGCCCGACGACGACGGATCGCGACAACGACTCCCCCAACGCACGCAATTCCGTACCAGCGCCATGTCGGCCCTTTCCCTCGCCCGCTCCTTCGGAGCTCTCACCCTGACGGCGCCGCGCGCCCTCGCCGCCACGGCCCCGACGATGACGAAGACACAGACCCGCGCCCTGACGACGGCACTCTTCTCCCGACCGCGCGTAGGCCTCGCCGAGTCGACGCCCAAGACGGCGGTGCAGACGATCATGCAGCAGGTTCGGGGCATGAAGGTGCACAGCTCTGTGAAGAAGCGATGCGAGCACTGCAAGGTGGGTTTTCATCCGTGTCTTCGGGGTGGCAAGATGCTGACGAGGTCGGTACATGCAGATCGTGCGCAGGAAAGCTGGCAAGCGACACAACGGCTACCTCTACGTCATCTGCAAGTCGAACCCCAGGCATAAGCAGCGCCAGGGCTAAGCAGTGGCCTACGAACTCGAAGAAGCGGCGGAGGTGAGGTTTTGGTCCCGCCAGGTCACGCAAGGGGGGTGCGAGACGAAAGACTAGCGCATGGAATAGAGGAAGATGTGCAGGGTGGGAGGAGGGACCAAAGTGTACGAATGCCGGCAGCAGCACGGGGTAGACGGCGTTTTGCGGGCAAACTTAGAAGACGCGCATGCACGCAGTCTGTAACTGTACCATCACCAACCAACCAAATACCTACTTCTACACATACTCTACAGGAAGAGATTACAGTCCCTCTACGTAGCGGCCCATGCTGTCCCACTCAACCTTGCCCGTGGAGAGCAGATAGCGGATGTGTCCCTGCGGGTTTAGTCTCAGGTTCACAGAAACAAGCAGGCGAGCTCTATCGTGGTGTAGACTTACAATGTCCGTGACGTGGCGGTGGCGCTCAAATTCGCCGCGGGCATAGCGACGAGACTCGGCCTTTGTCGAGGGATCAGAAATGTGAGCCGTGCCGCGGAGGATGGTGCGGTAGAGGGACAGGACGCGGCCGCGCTGGAGGAACTGCGGCTCATGTCAGTTTCCAAATGAGTGTAAGCATGGCATGGTTTTAGTCGGCATACATGGTCGAGACTCAGGGTCTTCTTCAGGCGGGTCTTTGCCGGCGCAGCGGTTGAGTAGCCACGGGCAGCAAGCCACCAGCGGCCGAGGGTAGGCGTCATGGTGCGTTCATGAGGTTTTCAATGGCTGGACAGTCTGCATGAGCAGCATCTATTTCCGTTGTCGAGCTTGACTTGCGGTGATGGAGAGTGTTGGTCGGAAAAACGTCGGCTGGTGGAGCACTGACGCTGAGACTTGGGAAGCTGTTTCGGGGGGTACCAGGAACCCTAACCCTGGCCCGGATGGAGACACCTACATCCCGTGAACACACCACGGTAACGTAACAACTCGCCTACATTTGTCTTCTCGCAGTTTCATTGTTTGAAAAGGTTGATCATTCTGCATGGTAGCCTACTCAAAATGCGATCTTCATAAAAAAGAATTAGAGGCAGCGCGCCTCATAATCCACAACACAATTCGTGAAAGCTCTTGCGATCGATCAGGTCACAGTGCATCGAAACGCCACACTTTCTGCCGCAGCTGGCGCCGAGCTGCAGCACGCAAGGAGCTAGGAGGCTTGTCGTCGGACGGAAGAAGGGAGCTGAGGACAGGGCTTTTCGATAGCGCCAAAAGCACCAGTGGTTCAGCTCCGACGTTGATCATGGCCGTCTGTTGCGCTCACTGTGCTGTGTCACAGCAAAGCCTTCGCTCAACAGCTTCACAGTCTATTCGTGTTGTTTTTTGCGTCCTTTTTTTTTCTTGAATCATTGAGCGCAAGAGAACTTCGACGTCATCTCGCTACGAAGACGTCTGGCTGGAGAAATACACGACATGGATAAACGCAATCGCAAGACACCTTGAACTGACGCCACTGTCAGTCACGGGCTCTTGCACCCAGACCCAGATCTTTCGCCACTGGCCAAGTATTATGTGCAGCTGTTTTCTTCGGGGCCGCCTTGCTCTTTCAGCTCCCCTAGAAGATCTTGTACCAAAGCAAGGGAGGGAGGAGTGCAAAGGAACATAAAAGCGGCGTATATTAGCGATTATCTGCGAAAGACTAAGATCCTCTCAAATCTTGAAACCCCCAGTGCGATCTCTGAACATGCCGTCAGGGTCCACTTCCTGCTGGACCCGAGCCACCAGTTGCTGATGCTCCGGTCGCAACCTTCCAAAGTAGTCCTGATCGTAAAAGGCATCGTTCATGAAAAGAGGGAGATGCGTCTCAGGCAATACGCCCTGCGCAGTGTAGTTGTCCACGCGGTCCTTGAAGCCGGTGTAGGCAGTCCTCATGGCGGCTTCAATCTCCGGCGTGTTGATGGATGAGAGGTGGCTCAGCGTAATCTGGAGAACGATGCGGTCGACGTCGTCGCTCATGTCGAGCAGGTCGCCGCCACGCTCCTTCGCGATGCGGGCCATGCCCTTGGGCAGCGGCTGGTAGCCGATGTTGGACGTCATGCCCGGCACCAACTTGACGCTGTTACGGACGTTGCGCCAGTGCTCGTGAATGTCCTCGAGGACGTCAATGTTGGCGGCTGAGGGCAGGGGCATCGTCTCGGTGCCAATGTGATACACGCTTCCCTTGATAACGCCGTAGTTGTTGGCCCGGACAAAGTCTCGGAAGCTGCGCGTTCTGCACGTGTTCAAGAAAGGTTTGGCTGCGGTAAAGTTGGCGAAGGTGCCGGCCGGTGGCTGGGGACCGTTGTAGAACATGAAGATGGTCCACATGTTGACGAGCCCGGCGCCCGTCAGGACGGCTGTGGGGATGATGGCCGCCTTCTCGTCAGGGTAGTGTTCGGTAAAGTCGCGGATGGCGTTGAGAATGACCGTATCCGTCTTGGGGGTTGAGGGGAAGAACATGCTACCGCCCCAGATTTCCCCTTGAGGATAGGCCTGCAGAAGAAACGAAGCGACGACACCGAAGTTGTTACTGCCTCCTCTCAGTGCCAGGAAGAGATCGGGGTGGTTGTTCTGGGTAACGTTGACAACAGTAGCGTTCGGCAACACGAGCTCATACTCTAGGACAGAGTTGGCTGCCCAACCCCGTTGGGTAGAGAGGAAGCTCAATCCGCCTGGGTTTATACGTTAGTGGCGGAGTATTTCTGTAGAACAGGGACAAATTACCTCCGAGCAGAAGACCACCGACTCCGACGTTTCCTATGCGGCCACCAACAGCGTTCCATCCGGTGCCATCGAGAGCATCTGCAACATTTTCCCACCTGTTTCCCGGACCAACACGAACCTTCCCCTCAGCTGCGTTCAGAGTGACTTGATTGAGTCTGGCTGTGGAGATGAGAGGACCGCCGTCGATACTGGCAAAGTGGTCGTTGGGGCTGTGGCCACCAGACTTGACAGCAAAGGTCTCATTATTGTCCCGGATAATGGCGACAATGTCGGCAAGCTCTTGCGTCGATTCGGGGAAGAGAATACAACTGGGCTTCAAGTCCCCCGAGGACGTCGACCAGTACTCCTGCTGTTCTTTGAAGTACGTCAAGGATGCCCGGCGACTGACCTCAACACCGCCCAGCGCTCGCACGCTGTCACATGTCCCTGCCGAGACTGAGCGCAAGGCCAGAGCGAGAAGACTGAAAGCAGGAAGATGCTTCATGATTATTAAACAAGAACTAAAAATGAAAGACTCGACGAACTAAAGGTGATGGGATGAACTCCTGCCAGTCGTCGTCACAAAAGATACGGAATGTTCCCTGTTTTATGACGAGTTCAAGGACCAGCCCCTGGCGGAACTTGCGCCATGGTCGTGATGCGAATCATTGCTCTATGAAGCTTGCAATGTGCAAAGGCGCAGGCGATGCCCGAGACAACTTTTTCGATAGTGTCTCTGAGAGCTTCGCGGACGCCATATGTGGCGGATAGCGCAATATTGCTTGTTCAAGGCCTAAGCGACTTGTCGAAACGGCTCAAGTAGGAAAGTGATCGTCCAGTGATGGCGCGTGTATGTCTGAGCTGGCGAACCCAAATGACATTGACAGGTCCCGCTAGGGCCAGATGGAGGAGCTGAACAGTCGTGTCAGGTCTGTAAGGCAATGGAGATGTACCTCCTTTACACGATGCCTGCAGTCGTTAGTGTGGTTTGGCGCCCACATGGGATGGTCCATGGTCTTGAGACGCTCCCTCTAGTGACGCAGTCAAGCGGCTGGATCAACTTGGCCGACTGTATTGCCATGTGCCAAGGTCAAGACCGGCCGACGGCGATGTCAGGGCTGCGTGCCACGAGTATTCTTCCCGATTTGGGGTCCCGAGTATTGAAGAATGGTCGTCACCTCTCTTGCCAAGCCTGGCCACTGGCTTCCCAAATCCAGCGTGATGCATACGGGAGAGGACCAACCCGAATGTAGACCCGACTCGTGGAGAATTGCCTGCACGGCCTCGCGTACCCATGACTCGAATCAAGCAAATGCCGATATCTGTTTCTGCGGCGCGCCGAGCTCGTTGCTTTTTTTTTGCTTGCTCCGAAAAGAAATTGACCATGTTGGGCAATCTCTGTGGGGGCGCTCTCCCTCATGATAACCCACATCTAGTCGATGCACCCAAAAGTATCTTCCTCAGGTTCACATTCTCTACTTGTCTTCACCATGACGTTGTTAACCCTTGGCTGGCTTGGAATGTGCCATACACTAAAGTGTGGTCTGTTTGGCCGACTTGGCAATTTACATATTTGGATTCTCATAGTTAGGCTTGTGAACGCCCGATGACATGGCGAAGGTCGAAGGTATCCTCGTACCTGAACCGGCGGTCCAATTAGTCGACCACTTGGCGTGCATTGGGATTCATCGCCGCTCGGACCGAGCCTTGCATGCGGTAGTCAGTGTCCCATGGATGGGGATGAACTGGCCCCAAGTAGGTCCCAGCAACCCGCAGGCGTCACCATGTGTGCGTCGTCTTTCGCGGGGATTGTGCCTTCGTCTCGGACAGCATGTCGGAACGTACGGGCCTGTTGTCGTCATCGGATGACACCTGTGATAGAGTACACCGACGAAGGTTCAGCAATTTCGTTGAATACAACCCAAGGCAAGGTAAGGTACCTTGAGTTTGTCCATGTCAATGCTGAGAGACTGACTTCCAGGGATAGGCACTTACTTTGAGACAACGCACCCAACAAGGGATCGTCTGGTCTGCAACAACGGCCTCTCATTGACCTGACAGCAAGCTTGATAGATGGCGCAAACTCCGGCCGAGCAAGCTGTTGTAGGCGCCTGGCCCTCAGCCGGGCTGGGTAATCAACAAGCGTGTTCTGGGTAAGGCAAGATGTCATTAGCGTAGTGGTGGGTGTGCTCAGGTCCCCTGCCTTAGCGTCGGTTAGGGCCCCAAGGTCGGAAATGTGGGGGTTTCCAGCCCACTGACCGCAGGGCGTACGTGGCCCACCCATGTCTGGTTAGTGACTTCCGGGTCAGTGACTTCTGGTCGGTGCATTGACTGTCGTGCCTTGTGATCGATCCATCACGGACTGCCCAACAGACAGGCATCTGCACTTAGCTTGGACACAAACATAGCCTCACCGCGCTGAAAACTCCTGCGCCGGTGATGGACCTCCGAGGACAGACCGTCTGATCCCCTGTCTTTGACACAGAATGGCTGATGCGCCAAAGAAGCGACGAAGGGCGCCGACGGAATGCAC